TACACAAATAAAAATTTAGATACACAGAACCTTTTTCTCTATCCATTTTATTAGGTCTGTTGACTTAAACTAGCCTTTATACTTTTCCTTTTTTCGCTCAGTTAATATTTTATTTGCTTGGTAGCCTTTCTTGATGTCAAACTAAAAGCTATAGACATTTAGATTAAGCTCCCATTTTGATTGGTTTATTCCTTGTTCGATTCTTTTATCACCATATTTTTCCTTTATGCAATCGCCTTTTGCCTTGTATCTGATTTCCTTTAACTTTTATATCTATGTTCTGACGTAATATGTTGTATCTCAGGTTCATCTTCCCCAGTTTAGAAACAAAGCAGCAACAAGTAAATAGACAGATGCCCTTAGAGGCTTGTTAGCAGTCTAGTCCTACCATTTATTCGCACTCTCGACATGGATTGTAAAGTGTATGAAACAAAGTATGCCCGATGTTTCGATGCATCCTTATCCCTTAGGGCTGCAAAAAATCGTGCCAGATTTTAGCCAAACGCAAATCTTTGGATTATGAAGAGTGATTATTGTGGCCTGCATTGAGCAAGAAAGATGAAGGAACATTGAATAACCATATATTTTGATATTTGCTCGATTTGAGTCCAATGGTCTGTCCTTATGTGTTGCCCTATTATTGTACTTCTAGTTTGCTACTAAATAGGACTGCCTATCCATCTCTTAAGCATACCTTCTAGGCCTCTTTCTATAGCCGACTCAGCTGTGAGCAGCTCTGGATGTGACAATAGATTTTCGCAGTTTCCATATTTTTGAGTCTAAGGTCTAGTGTGAATTTGGATCATTTATGGTTACTCATCCATTGGATATCCTTTTCTTTTTAAGAACGCGTTTAATAACTTAGTTACTATGTCGCTTAATGTGATTCAAAGCCACGAATACCGGTGAGTCTCAAGGCAGATGCGACATTCGAGGCAAGCCAGGCTTTGGGGAGGTAATGCCAAATGAAGTTTTTATCTTCTCATTGTGGGCGAAACTCAACTGTTAATCCTTAACTCACCTTAATCGATCTAGAGTTACAAGATTCTTATTCAATAATTAATGGTATCGAAATGATTTTAGCGTTTATTAAGTCACCTTTGACGTCAAAAGTAATATTTTTTGGAGTTTGGGGATTATCATCATACAAATGCTTCGGCGGCCTAACCGAGGAGTAGCCCAGTCTGATTTAGTCACTGTGATTTAATCCAGATATCTTCATGGCGAGGATATTGAAGTGGTCGCCTAATGACGATCTGCGGTTAATGGTTCATATTTTCAAAATGTCGGTTAACACTACTCCATAGTCCAAAAAACCGAATTTTCATTTCTATTTGCAAATATCTATGCTTTTTACTAGTCCATTCACCAACTAAGGCATTACTTATAATCACGCAATCCATGCAGATTTTATTTATAAGTATACTCCCCGTAAATAAAATCTAGGTGAACAGCCTTATTCTCACCGCTATGAAGGTTGAATATTTGTTCTACTATAATTTGGATATAAACGCTAATCTTATCGCTAGGTACCTTTACTCGTCACATCACTTTGCCGAGCATTGATAGTTCTAGAATCGACAAAGGTTGAGGAGATTACTTACTTCTTCTTTTTCGTGTAAAGTCGTTTCAACCTCATCTAGTTCTAATCAGTACTGCCAGCACATCTTAAATGCGAGTCGCTTGTATATGAGCCGGAACTTTGTCACTTCTATATTGTCCTGGCACTAACCCGTTTCACAACTTTAGAATGGTCCAGGACCTCGATTCACATAGAAAATTTGCATATGCACTGAGCGGCACTTATCCGTGGTAATTGAGGTAAACAGATGCTGGAATAATTGAAAATCGTGGCCAATACACTTTTTATTTTATTACAACCTTCACCATCCTTCCAAGCAAAGTAGGCATTTATATGCATTTTTATGACTAGGTATAATTATTCACATTATGACTTTATTGTAAGGACAAGGTTGAAATGATGAATCTATTAATCAGGAAAATTTTCTAAGCAATATTTGTGGCAGGCTATGATCCTGCTTATTTTGCCTAGCTTCGCCTACTTATTGAGACATTTCGCGTTTGGGTTTCTTATTTCATGTTTCTCCTGCATCCTTGCGGACAAGTTTAAGGGCTTTGGATAACGTATGTAGTGAATGCGGTTGTGCCTGGGCAGCTATTCCCTTGCGTTTTGACCCTTAAATGATGTCATATGCACTTACGTTCGTTTACATATGGGTTTTATGTATGCAATGCTCCTGAGTCATGTACGGTATCAGAACCTTAGGCAGATTCTAGATTAATTAATTAAGTAATTCTCCTCCTATTCAACGGGTTTTCCTGCTTTCTCTCCTAAATTCTATTCAGTAGCCAAAGTGGTTGTCACATAATTTCCTAAACGCATTCCCCGTTTTCAGACTGTTGGCTGCTTTGCTTATTTTTATAAGACTTCCGATCTTCCAGTTTTTTTGGA